TTCGATCTCTTAAGGGCATTTCTGTAATTTCTTAACCAGATAATTTTGATATTAGCTTTTAACGAAAATATTATAATTTAGAGATCCTATGATTAATTGCTTTCCCGAACCTTCTCTGATCTTGAAGTGATTCCTTAACAGACTTCTAGTATCTTGCATAAACCCTCTTGGTGTTAAAAACCGATTATCCATAATTTCCAAGTAAAACTAACATTTCCTTATGCACATCAATATTTTTAGCAGATCAATAATTCTTTTCAGATTTATTAATCCACTTCCAGAGACAATTCTTGTCATTTTCCACCATAAGGGTAATTTCATAATTTTACCTAATCGAAATATTCTCATAATTTATCATCTAAGTACCTTTAATGAGATAAATTATAATCTACAATCCATGGTTGATTCTTTTATCACTTAATTTCAGAACTTGTAATTTAATTCCAACTGTCCTCCAATTTCTTATAATAGTCATCCGAGCCATATTCAGTTATCTACTTTCTACCGTATTCGTATCTAGTGTAGATCTTCATTTATTACACATATAAGACCAAACATTTCCATTCATGCATTTACCAATACCAACATGTTCTATAAAGCATAAAGAGGTAGTAAAATATTACCTCGATTTCCGTGCAACACTGATCGACCATAAAAATTCCATTCGAACGCCTTTGATCCTCAATTCAGCTTCCAATAATTCCTCAGATACATATCAACATAAATTATATCAGAAACGGAGCTTAATTGCGATAAACGGATCGAATCGGGTGATAAATCAGTGAAAGATAGCTTACCGGGTTCGAATTTGGCGAAACGGACTACGGATTCGGATTCAGGACGTCGAAAGCATAAAATATAACTTTTCGGAAATTTGGAATATTCGGTCAAAATCAAAGTCAACGGGTTTGACCGGTAATTTCGAGGTCTTCGGGTTCGAATTTCAAAAAACGGACAGCGAAATCGGATTTGGAACGTCGAAAAATGTCAGGATAGGTATACTCGGTCGAAGTCAAAGGTCGTTTAATGCCCGGTCAAAGCCGGTCAAAGTTTTGGTCAACAGTGGTCAACGCCAGTCAACGGTCAACGGTCAACGGGTCGGATCGGGTCAACAGAACGGGTAAACGGGTTGGATCGGGTCAACGGGTCGGGTCGGGTTGTGACCGGTCAAAACAGTTCCAAAACCGGTCAAACCGGTTATTTTTTCTTCCCCACGCGCAGTGGCGGCGCGTGGGGGCGCGTGAACAGTGCTAAAATCCTGGAAAATTTTCTAAAAATTATTTTGAGCTATTTCGAGATACTTACAAAGCTCGGTTCAAAATTTTGAACGGCGAAGAGCTCGATTTCAACAAATCGGAAACTTTGACCGCTTCACCTCCTCACGCGCTGCCGTCGACGGAGACCAAGGATGACACCGGCGAACTCGGAACGATGCATCGAACACGATGGTGCGGGAGGTGTCGTAAACGGATGACCCGATCGTCGTGAATCGATGAAAAACCAACTAAAATCGAGTTATTACCGACGATACTTCCGACTGAAATTCATGACGAACGGCGACGATTCACGACGAAAGGTTTGAGGGGTTTTGTTCCTCGCTCGACAACGAACACGATGGTGTTTTCGGCTTGTCGATCGGATGTCGGACGGTGAGTAAATCGAAGTTGAAAGAAGGGTTGATGAAGGGGAAAATCTGGAAAATTTTCCAGAAAACATACGGGAATGGGGGATTTATAATTCAACTCATAATAAAAATGGCTAAACTATGAGTTTAGTCACTGAACTTCCTACACTTCTTAAAACGGTCTGCCGACTTTAAAATCTTACAATTTAACCCATTGTTTCTTTCAAAATACCAAATTAAATCCACCACTTTATAATTTCTTAATTTTAGCCCCTAATTTGGGGTGTTACAGAAAAGGTTTAAGAAATTTAGAAAATCCAGTTTGTTTTCAGTGTTTACTAGCTATATAAAGTGTTTTAAACCCTTCTTAGCCTTCACTTTCAGCTAGTAATCTTTGTTTTGAATCTTGTTTAGTGAGGGAGGTTGGAGAAATCTCCAAAGCTAAAGGGAAAGAGAATCTCACCTTTGGTTAAGCATTGGGTGTTTTCAGTAGTTTATTATCAAAGACAACTCACTATTTACTCAATTATACCATATGTAAGTCATTTAGATGAAATGTAGTATGCTGCATAAGCTTGAATCATTCCCATGGTAGATTTCATGTTTTAAAGTTATAAACATGTCTGAGGCCCTATTTATGCTCCTTTGTATCTTCAAAAAACATTAATAATGTTTGGGGACCTCACTAAGGCTTTGGGATAGTAGAATAAGAGTTTTTGCACCTATTTTATGCTCTCTGTAGGTTGAGTTTCGATACTAGAGGGATAGTATCGAAACTTGTTCTTCTTCTGGGGCAAACTCGTGAGTTTCTGGGCAAGAGTATTGATACTTTGGGTCATAGTTTCGAAACTCCTATAAAGTTTTGAAACTATGCATAACAAAATATTTAAAAGTATCGATACTTATATAAAGTATCGAAACTTTTGCAGAAGTATCGATACTTTTAGTCTGTTTTGGACAAAAAGCCAGTTTTTGAGGGAATTAGACTCAAGGTACCCCGACACTTCAATATATCCTCAAATAAGACTTCAAATGAGAACAATCATTAATATAAGAACAATAAAAACAAAAATAGCTAGGCTTACATAAAACTAGCCTTGGTTGACGCTTGGGAAACAATTAGGACACCCGAGTTCCTTTTAGCAGAAATACGACAGTCAATGGATTTAAGTTAGTGCCACGACACTATAGCAGCCGACTAGTCGTAGATGCCACAAGACTCGATGGAGTAAGTCAGTGGGTGTACGTTCCGATACATAATTTCGGATCACACGTAAAAGTACCCGATAGTGCTTCAACAGTGCTAGAGGGGTGCGTGAGCTCCGAGATGCAGAATCCCTCAGCCGCACCATGATGCCAACCACAGATTCGCAGTCCAGTAGTTGTACACTTAGACCTGTGCCACTTGTCACTTCATCTAGTGAATGCATATAATATAGTACATTTTGTAGTGAGGCGCTGAACTCGTAAGCTCAGTGTTCGGAATGTGTTCCCGTGCGTAAGTTCTTAGGGAGTGGGTCGTGAGGAGCTATTGTCATCAGATATTCTAGTGCAACATATTCAAATTTCCGGGGACCTTTCAGAGTACGTCTTGATTCATCTTTAGAGGGCATTTACTGTTATGGACCTTGTTATGTATTCAATCATAACTCTTTTGAAACTCAAACTTTTGTATTATTTTGCGGATATATTTTGTGAGCTCCCCATTATTTGTAAACCCAATTTATTATTATGTTTTTATATTACATTATGAATGTCTAAATTTCAGAGATTTACAAGCAATTTTAAAAGAAATTTTTGGGTAACTATCTCGGTAGTGTCATGTAACATTGTAATCCATGAATCTTCGGGTCTAACTAGATTAGGGTGTTACAATCATAGTCGTTAGGAGCCATTGGGGTTGGATTTTACGAAACGCTGAATTAAGTAAGATCTGCTGAAGAACCAACAACTTTGTCCTGAAAACGTAAAGGAAAGATAACCGATAGGTTTCAATAGAGGCAGAGTTGTTCTTTTTAATGCGACAAGTTATTGGTGCATACAACACGTGTTACCTGCTGCTGTGATTGAGCGTGTTAAGCAGCTTTGTGCTAGATTCCATTGGAAGGGTATGGATGTTTCAACAAAGGGACCTAGAGTCAGTTGGGATAAAGTTTGTGTTCCTAAGTCAGAAGGGAGTTGGGGATCAAGAGGTTGAAGTGTTAGAATAAGGCATATATGCTCATCTTGTTGAAGAAGGTTCTTGGGGGTGTTCTTGTAGGTGGCTTGGATTAAGGAGTACATTATCAAGGATTCTTGCTGGGGAGGGCTCCGTTTGGGTGGATTCCATTAAGGAGTACGTTCTCAAGGGAGTTGTTGTTTGGCAGGTGATTAATAGACCTAATTTTAGTTGGGGGTATGAGGAAGGAGGCTCAAGTGTTGTTTGTTGGCGAGAATTAGAATATGATGCAAATTAGGTGGTTTTAGAATGAAATAAGAGTCAAAAGGGAGAAGTTATAGTGGCATAGGTTACTATGGTTTTCATTGAATGTTCCCAAATATTTAGTCATTGGCTGGATGGTTTTATTGGATAGGTTACCCACTGCTGACAGGATGATGAAGATGGGCATTCTTGTTGATGATCTCTGTAGGAACTGTGGTTGCATACTGGAAACTATGAGTCAATTTTTTTTAGTGTACTTTTGTGAAGAAAGTGTGGAAGACCATTCTTAGCCTATGCAATGTAAGTCGAGAAGTGAGGAATTGGGAATATGAGATTGTTGGGTTGTGACAGTCTTGAATGGCAAATCCTTGGTTGTTTTTATATATCACATATGTAAGTAATTATATTTTTCCATTATAAAAATATATATATATATATTAATATTTTTAGTGTATAATTAAATTAAGAGTTATTCATCACATTATAAATTTTTATCAAAGTTAATATCTAAATTTAAGATTTATTACTTATATTTCCTGATATTATTACTAATTTTGTAGTTATTGTAACATTTTAAAATATTGAAATTTTGTTATGAAAAGAAAGAAAGAAAGAAAGCAAAACGGAAAGAAATAACAATTCCTTAACATTAGGAACCGTAGTGTAATTTTTAAATTTTTTTTTTCAGTTTATATATTGTTGGAGATAGAGATGCTCAAGTTACATCCACAGCCACCGAAAACACGAATTAATTAATGATAATATTAAACGTGGCGGATTTTTATTCGTCAATGTCAAACGGGTCCGTAACGTTATCATCACCTATTTTCCCCTTTTAATTTAATTCTTAAGAAAAAAAGTTTTTTTTTTGCTTATTCAAAAATTCGAATAAAAAAGAGTTTTAAAATTGTCAAAGAATGAAGTTATTTTTATAATAATAAATCATAAGTTTAGGCCTTTGGGGAGAGACCTGAGAAGCCTCTTCTCTTCCCTCCTCAACTGGCAATTTCTTCCGGTAAAAGAATTTCAATTCGAATTAAAATGTGATGTTAAATTTGTATAATTTTTTTATTATTGTGCGAAATGTAGAATGAATTCGTTTTTTTTTTAATTTCTGGAAACTATTTTAATTGATTTTTTCCTGAATTGTTCATCAGCTTCCAAGTTAATACGAATCGGATGGGCTAGTTTCTCTTGGTATTTAAGAGTTTCGATCAATCGAATTGGTATCTGTACTTAATTTTATGTAATTTCGTTTTCATTTCTTACTTTTAATATCTATTTTTTTATTGTTTGAAATAAATAAAAAGGTTAGAATCATAAATTCTGCATTTGATGTAAGGGCATTGTGGTAGAAATTCAGTTTATTTTCCTTTCCGTGTTGTTTTGAACTTGCATGTTATGATCAATGAGTAGGTTGGCAAATATTATTTTAAGTTTTCCAATTTTGTTGGTATGTATTTTAGTTTAATTTTTATTGTCAATATGGTATCCAGATCAGTGCTTGAGATCCCCGTTGTAAAAATGGGGGTAGTGTCTAGGCGGGTTTTGCCCTTCTGCTGTAACCTCTGTCTCTGCTGCCCTTCGTTGCATACCAGGTCGAGACAACCTGTTAAAAGATACAAGAAGTTACTATCTGACATTTTCCCCCGTAATCGGGTATTCTTTTTAGCTCATCTTTTGTCACATTTTACTTGAATTCTCAGAATTTCGGCTTGTTGTTTATTAATACTATTAGAGTAAAATATGCGATTGGAATTTGGATATCAGTCTAGCTGCTCATTGTATTGTACTTAATGAGTGATGATCAATGGAGTTAAATTCAGTCAAGTGTATTGTGGTTATGAAATTGTCTATTTGTATCGAGTTGTGACTTCAATACATGTAATTGATATTCCATGATGAAAGTTTAAGAGAACTATAAATTTGTCGGTAAGATCTATAGCAGCGCTGCTATTTTGGTTTTGGATACAAAAATCTCTAATGTACGTGGTATTATATATTATTTTAATGAAACCAATGTTGAGGAAGAAGTAGTTTTATTGCTATTAGCTTCTTCTGATATTTGGGAATTAAGGCATTTGTATGATGCTTTTAAGGTCTTTAGGCCTCTGTGAAGGCTATTCTACCACCCCCGGGTACAAAACAGGTAAAATGTAGAGGAAGAAAAATCAGCGTTTGATATTCTTAGCAGTTGTCCAATTACATTTGACAGGAACCTGAACCAAATGATAGGCTAATTGGGAAGCTTTGTGAATATGCTGCAAAGAATCCATTACGAATACCGACGGTATGACTTTTCTGTTGATACATTTTTTCCTTGGCGAAGTTTGATATAGAATTTCTGAAATTTTAATTTGATTTATTTATTTAATTTTCTGTTTGCAATTTTGTTTCCACCAATGTTCAAATATTTAATGTTTTCTATGAGCTAGTTTTCACAATTTTGTTGGCAGGGTGCTTACTGTGTTAATTTAAATGAAAATATGACGCATATTAATGAGGTGTCTATCTCTTTTCTACTATTGGGGTTTCTACTTTTAATAAAGTTAATAATGTTTGATATAATTTTTGCATTTTAGGATTTAAATATTGTTTTTAAGATGATTAATTTCTGAAATGCTGGTAAATTTTTGTCAAGAAGTGTTCAAAACTGATAGAAAATTTCTGAATTGCCATCTATCTTTTGTTTATAAAACATATTGAAGCATCCTTGATTTGTTCGAAACTAGTGTGAAATTTACCATATTCTATGATACATATAACTTTACTGAATTTTCTGTTGATTTGTTAACATCTTTAAGAATTTGTCTGCACAGATTACAAGTAACCTAGAGCAAAGATTTTTCAAGGGTTTACGGAATGAGAAATTTGGACGCGTGAAAGTCGTATTGTGTGTTTACAAGAAAATGATATCGACATGTAAGGAGCAGATGTAAGTTCGGTGCATTGAAAATTAAATATTTAATTCATTTTAAATTTTCACAGCATCATTTCTTCCCGCCAAGTTTCATTTTGGGTGAACATCTAAGAGAGGAGTTTCAAAGAATGAACCACTGAGTTTGGATAGCTTAATGTTAGGTAGAGCATAATATTTTGCTTGTTATTGTCACACCATTAATGAAGGGGCTTGTTTTGGGGGATCAAATTCTAGCAGGAGCAAAACATTAGAAGATAGCTACGTATCAATTTACAATCTATATAATTAACTTTATTTGTTTTCGGTGAAGTTTTTCTTTCTGTTTGGCTGCATTGAAAGAAAGCCAAATTAGTTAACGATGATTAATTCTCTTTATTTGTTATGGGTGAAGTTTGGCTTTGTGTTTGGCTGCATTGAAAGAAACTGAATTAGTTAACAATGATTATTTCTCTTTCCAATATCATAACATCTAGGTAAGCTTTGGTAATGTAAAGGATGTATACAATAACTCCTACTTTTTTATTTTAACATTTAAAAGTAACATTCATTTGGTAATTAATAATTTAATGGGTTTTTAGACTTTTGTTATGATATTGCAGTAATGTGCAGATGCTTCCATAAATGTTTGCAGGAAAAGATCATGCTTATTGAAGGATTAAATTATTTTGAAAATTATTCTAAGAATTTGATCTATTTTCCTGTGTTCAATTTTAAGTTGTAGTATTTAGGGTCAGTTATTTTTTTCATATTTTTTTCATTTTAGGCAGCAACTATTTATTGTAATTATTTCAGTGTCAATAATATCTATGTATGATATTCACAGGAGTGCTTTATTCTTGCAGGCCACTTTTTGCTAGTAGTTTATTAGAGATCATTCAGACACTTTTGGAGCAAACCCGACTGGATGAGATGCAAATTATAGGTTGCAATGCACTTGCAGAGTTCATAAATAATCAGGTGTGTATTAGCATGTAGTAGTACAATCAATGGCAGGCACTACTTTTTGAAATTTTTTCTATTAATTTTATTTAAAAAATATTAAGAATAAAATTGGCACCACTTTAAAAGAGTCTTATGCATTAATTTTCTAAATTCTGACAACTTAGTGTAAATTTTCTAGCTTTGGCCCTGAGTACAATTATGTTTGTCATTTGGTAACAGTTGTTAAGTAGTCCTTTTGAACTTTATGCTTTCCGTTTGTGTTTATATGTTGTTAACTTCTCTTGAAGAGCTCTTCACAGACCTGATGACTGGAATAAGACCTGCAAAATTATTACATGACAATTCAGTTGGGATCTGGTTCCCCTCCATTACTTTTGTGTCCATTACTATTAAATACAAGTTCAATCACCATTCAAAAATATGGTTTCCACAATTCATGGAAGCCCCTAGACATTTGAATGGTGATGAGTAGTGTCCTGGAAAATAATGAATAAAAATGTAAAGGATATGATCTCTACCCATTCAGTTGTAGGCTTTAATTGCAGACAGACGAGACAGGATTATTAAGCCTCTAACCTAAAATCAACTGGCAATAAGCAGAGAGATCTGACTTCAATATAAGATCATAGAAAGCCCAATACTTAACATATCTGAAATATTACCACTTGACTAGGGTATTGTACATATTAGCTTGTAACTAACGAAGTTATTTTAATTATATGGGGAATTGAAACTAGATGGACGGTACTTACATGTTCCACTTAGAGGGCCTTATTCCAAAACTTTGTGAACTGGCTGAAGAAGATGGAGATGATGACAGAGCTTTACGTTTACGTTCTGCAGGATTGCAAGTGCTGGCTTCCATGGTAGTGTTCTCTTTAATCGTGATTTTTTTTTACATAAAAGCTTCTCTTTCCAGAGCACATTATAAGTAGTCATAGCTTTTCTTCCATAGAACACAAACATGAATATGCAAGCAGTCACTTGTTTTCTCTTTTACTTATCATTTCTTGAATGTTATACTTGTTTAGAGTCGTGTGCAACTGTGCATATCTTTCCAGTCTTGTCCTTCACAGATTTCCCACTTTGCTGATATTGACTTGTTTCTAGCGAATTTACGGGGTCTTTTTACTGGCTGTTTATAACAGTATGGGCCTAATAATATTATGATCCAGCTGATTGTTTTAATTATTTTCACGTGGCTTCTGCTTCTACCTTTGTGCAATAATTGAAACCCTCTGTTGGAAGAAACCCTTTAAACTGAGAGGCTGACTTTCTGCAATATATTTTGATGAGTAAGGGTTTGATTTTTTTGCTGGTTTGTCTCTTGTATTACTAGCCTGAGCTTGAACTTAGATTAGTTAAGAGTTCAATTGATTAAATTTTTTTATTGATCTTTCTAGATTTGAAAGAAGCTGCTTTAACTTTTTGGACTGAAGGGGAATATTGGGGTTTTAGGAATAAATGATGGGAAAATAAAAAACTTATTACCGAAGGGTCATCAAGTGTCTCTAGGTTGAACTTGCTGCGTAAATTAACCTGCTAACAGCCTTATGTTCTAACATGTTCAATTGACTTACAAGTCTTTACAAACCAGATAAGTAGGAGAACAATTCCTGAATTTTTCTTGTTGATTTTTCCGTTTAAGATCATTTTATTCATTAATATTGTCTTATTTTCTATACTTCTTTTCCCACTTATTTTAGTTTTTCACTCTTATTTGTTTTCTTTCAATTCAAAATCTGGCCACTTAATACTTTTTACTTTCTCATTTCCTATGCCTAGGTTTGGTTCATGGGTGAGCAGTCTCATTTATCAAAGGACTTAGATAGTGTAAGTTACCATTTCTTATAGGGTCTGGTTCCTACACTTATATTTTCAAAGTTTGATTCATTTCTTATCTGATGCAATTTGACTGTGCTGTATACTGTAATCCTAGATGCTACTTCCTTAAAAATATTGAAATTATTAAGAGTCTCTTTGGCCTAGCTTGAGCTTCATTAAAAGGATTGAAATGGACTTTTGAAATGGTTACAAATAACAAAATATACTTTGTAAATCCAAAATTTGGATTAAGCTCTCTATCGGTTTCTCTTGAGTCAGCTCCTCATTGAAGCTCCATTTTTTAGTTTCAGCTTTTCACCTCTTTGATCTCCTTTAAAATATTTGAAACTAAAGCAAACACTAGAAGAATCAATGTGCAGTAGGTGCTGGCTCTTTTCTTCATCTTAAATTCATTTTTCCATCTTACATAGGTAATATCAGTTACCTTGGAGAACTATATGGATAGCAAAATGACACCTGTCAGTGTCAGTAAAGTGGATGAAAATAGCTTGTTTGTCCCAGACATCAATGAGAAGGCTATATCTGCATCAAACCTTGTGAATAACTCTGACCTAGATCCTACCATGTAAGGCTTTCTTTCAGTATATTTCACTCTGCATTCAATACATAGGATATATTTCTTGTTCGAACATCATCCTTCACTTCATTTGGCTATTTAATAGGGATACTTCCAAGAGGCCTTCTTACTGGTCAAAGGTTATCTTACGTAATATTGCCACAATGGCAAAAGAAGCAACAACAATCCGACGTGTTCTTGAACCACTGCTTAAGAATTTTGATGCTGAAGATCACTGGTCTCAAGAGCAGGGGGTTGCTTTTTCTGTTCTAATATACTTGCAGTTGATAATGGAAGAAACAGGTTGCTTTATGAGTTTTAATGTGTATCCTTCGTAAATATATACTTTTTCTATTGAGTCTTTTGTTGATATAATGGTATTATGTCTTAATTCCAGGAGAGAAGTCCCACGTATTATTGGCTATCTTGGTGAAGCACATGGAGCATAAGAATGTAACCAAGCAACCTCATGTACAAATAAACATTGTCAATATCATTGCTCGACTTGCACAAAATGCAAAACCTCTGCCTTCAGTAGCAATCATTGGTACAATAACTGAATTGATGAAGCATCTACAGAAAATTCTACAAAATTCAGCTGACTTATCAAATTCTGGGGGTGCTAATAAATATGACACTGATCTTCAGTTGGGACTAGAAAAATGTATCTCACAGCTCTCAAATAAGGTTGTGAATATGTTCTTTTCCACATCCAAGTTTTACTTTAATCTTAATTTTTAGATACTTACAAAGGCTACTCTTCTTGTTATTCAATTTGTTCCCCATTTAGTTGAAACCTATTTTCTGCATGTATGTAACAGGTAGGGGATGTGGGACCAATTCTTGATACGATGGCTGTGGTACTAGAGAATATATCCACCAGCACTATTGTTTCCAGATCAACTATTTCTGCTGTTCATCGAACAGCGGACATCATCTCTTCTATCCCAAACATATCATATCAGAAGGCAAGTTTTGTTGTGTAATATAGAGTTATATTGGTTAGTATCTTGTATGTGCATCAAAGTTCTGACATTAAAATATGTTCCAGGCCTTCCCTGAGGCTCTATTTCACCAGTTGCTCATTGCAATGTCCCACCCAGACCATGAAACTCGTGTTGGGGCACATAGAATTTTTGCCGCTGTGCTTATGCCATCCTTGCTTTCACCTTCTTCAGATCAAAATAACAGTGCTCCTGAAATTGTTTCTTCTGACTTATCACATAGTGCATCTAGGAAGTTGAGGAGTCACAGCTTTGCCTTGCAGGTCGAAGGTAAAGACCAAACAGAATTCATTGATGAGAGATTAAAAGAAAACGGAAACCCAGCATCAAATATTGCCGTGAGAAATCCAGTATTGTCTCAGTCTCGGAGACACTCATATAACTTCGAGCATGCTCTGCGTGATGGAAATATGGTGTGAACCAACTTTCTCTCTGTTGCTAGTGTTATTGTGAATTCAGATGCTATTTAGTGTTCTTACATATTTTAAATTTTCAGGAGCCTACTTCCCTTAGATTAAGTAGCCACCAAGTGAGTCTCCTGCTTTCATTAATATGGGTCCAGGCAAATTCTCCTCAAAACACCCCTGCGAATTATGAGGCCATGGCTCATTCATATAGCATTGCAGTATTATTTATCCGATTCAAGGTTAATCATAATTTTATACTGCCTTTGTTTCAAAATATTAGTCTTTTTTGGCAATGAACAAGATTCAAGAAACATGGTTGTTATGATATGGTTTTGCTAATGAGTGCTTAAGGGCACTCTTTAAGACTACCATATAAGTTGCTATTTCCAATGCATTGTAATTCATTAAATTAATATGATGAATTACAATGCATTGACGATGGTGGCTTGCCTAGTACCTAAGCTTAATTAATAATGCCCACCCAAAATGGAAGGATGGAAAACTTAATTTATTTATTTTACTGAGAGAGCATCTGCTTAATATGACGTTGCAAATGGCCTTTTCAATTTTTATTAGAAGTTCTTAGTTCTCTCCGTGTTGCTTTACATGAACGTAGAAAAATGTTGATTGTTTCAAGCTTTCTATTTATCACTTCCATCTACCATTATCTAGGAACTCAAAGTGGCAAAGATCAACCTTTCTGTTTCAAGCTCTAAATTTAGGTTTATCATTGGGCCATTGGCTTTGATGGAATTTGGGTCTTACCTTGATTCTAAGAGGGATGTTCCAGATCTTATACTAAAGAAGATTCCTTTATCTTTTTCATTTTTTCCATGGATATTTGTGACATATCTTTCTCTAGTAGAGTTTGTCTCTTTCCAATTTTGGTAGCTATTTCCTTAATTTGGTGTATTGATAAATTTTGTTGATGACAGACTTCCAGTCACATGGCCCTAGTTCAGAGTTTTCAGCTGGCACTCTCCCTTTGGAGTGTCGCCCTGAATAAAAAAGGTATGTTGCATCTATAATTTTTTTTTTGATAGAAATGGGAGGTCTCATTAAACCCCCCCTTCATTGCATCTATAATCAAATAATTAGTTGCATTTTTATCGGGTAAAAAAATAGTTTGATACTTATGCATGCAGTAGGATGCTTTCTCTCCACTTTGTCTATTGGAAGTTTCACGCACTGGATTATTCCTTACAAATCCATGATGCTGTCTATCCTCTTTAAATTTGTTCCTAGAGATGCTATGTTAATTTTGCTCAGTCATCCCAAGCTTGTAACTGGATAGGAAACTGTGACTAAGTGAAGTTTTTTGTTCTTGTCACATATTTACCAAATAGTTTACGTTAATGGTATATAGTGCTCCTTTCTAGCTTTCCTGGAATTTGAAACCTTGTAACACAAGTATTCATGCACTTGCAACTCATGCCAAAGGAATTCATATAGATCCTAGGTGCTGATTTGGTCTCCAATGCTCTTTTAATGTTTTTCACAATCAACATAGAGGGAAAACAAATAGAAGCTTTATCAAATATGATTTTTTTTCTTGCCTCCTATTTTCTTGAGGAATTCACATCTTTATTGATATTTAATGCCACTGGCTCAAATGGTATCACCAAACCCACCTGATTTCCTTTCAAAAAAATTAATATGACTTGGGTCTTTTAGAATTTACTAAAGCCAAACTTCATTTCCCTATTTTCTTCCTTATTCCATCAACCAAAATGCCACACTGTATGATATTTAAATAACTTTACTACCTCGGTTCCTCTGATAATCTTTTCTCTTATTCTGAATTATTAAATCATGCTCATGATAATGTTAGCATCAAAGGATGGTTAATAGTGAATAGCCTTTTTTTCCTATGTCTGTGGTAGGGGAAGTGGTGTACTTGTTGCTCAAGTTATGTGGGCTTGTTAAATTTGGTCCTGACATTTGTGTCTTGCATGCATGTTGAAGGACGTTTACAACCATCTCGCAGGCGGTCTCTCTTTACCTTGGCGTCCTACATGCTTATTTTCTCAGCCAGGGCAGCCAATTTTCCAGAGTTGATCTCTGTTGTTAAAGGATCTCTGACAGCTAAAACGGTCAGTTTCTTATCCTTGATTCATAGGTAATATTTTTAATGACACTGTTTTCTGAGCCTTCAGCTTATAATTGAGTTCATCATACTTTGCACAGGCTGATCCTTATCTCAAATTAGATGAAGATGTCGAACTTAAGGCTGTATGTGAAAATTCAGATACAACATATGGATCCAAGGAAGATGATGATGCATTAAACTCCCTCTTGGCAATAGAGCTAGATGACATATATTTGAAGGAGATTGTCATATCCCATTTCAGGACGAAATTTGAGAAATTTTCAGAGGTGATATGTCAGTTTCTTGTTTATTAGTCTTTTATTCTGAGGTATATGATGTGCTAGCTTTCCTATTTCTATTGACGGATAAGTATTTAAAGTTGAAGGTTGAGTGAACCATCGGTGCTTTAGACTAGTTAATTAAAGATTATTGTCTAAAAATATCTTATGTGAAAGATTTTTTTATTGAGGAGTTACTGGGAACTAATAGGAACAGTTGTCATGATACAAAATGTAGTTAGGAGAGATGTTACTTGTAAATTATAATTCGATGAAATGTAAGAAGGATCAGAAGACTAGACACAAACCAGATAAAATGAGTGAATACTGAATGTATTCTTAATTTGTAATTTGATTGTCAAAAGTGGATTATTGTGCCCCCCTCCCCCCTTTCAGATATGTGGCTTGTAAAGAATAATGATGGCATTATCAACACTACTGGATGGCTATGATAAGGGATTATTTATTGCATGTTTTTATGTTGTTCCGTTTTCATGAAAAAGGAATTACTAGCATTTACGGGATCTTATTTGCAAAATGATTATTATTATCCCATGTGTTCTTCCAGGATGACTTATCAAGTATAAGGAAACAACTTCGTGCGGTCTTTTCACCAGATGATGCATACCTATTAGGTGTTTCATTGTCACGGCCTAGTGCTCCTCTTGAGCAGATGGAGTTCCAGTCAGTTGAAGAGGTAGATTGTGTTCGCTCACATTCACTCTGCATTCACTCCCATAACACTTTGATATGGTGTGGTTGACTTGTGGTTTTCTTTCAGATGCCTCTAGCTGCGATAATAGATGAAAAAGTCGGAAGTCAGGCATGCCAGAATGCATCATTAACCACCAGCAAACTAGATGTCTTAAGTGCCAATGAGCTATTGGATTCGGTATGATGAGAAGCTGTGTTTAATATATATATATTTTTTATTATATTTTCTCAATGAACCTGGGAACAGTAGGATGGTATGTCTATATTCAATTACTCAAACAAAAATGTCTATATTCAATTTCATTGACCATTTGGATCTGGTGCTATTTGCAACTCTTATCATGCAGTATGTTGGGAAAAGTACCTTTCGTCATGCAGTGTGTCTTATAGTTCTGTTGGAACACGATCCTACCCTTCTTTATAGGACTTGTTAGTAGATCAAGGTTTGTTTCCTTGCACACCCCTCAAATCCCAACTTTTTTTAGTGTTCTGCCAGTGTTCGCCCGACCCATTCTCCTGGCTGCTCACACGGTAAGCAAACAGGGCCTTGTTCCCTAACTTCTAGCTAACCAAGCTTACACGATCCTTCTTTGTGCTTCCTGCACTTCTGATTATGGAGCTGTACCTAGTTCCGGGCCAACAAATGAAACAACTGCCTCTCTCTCTCTCTCTGATTTCTTCCGTCGTTTGTACTGACCTGGCTCACAGTTTTGATGGTTTGTCCCCTTTTTCTCCTTTTCTGCCTACCGTTTCCTAATGTGATTTGTTTGAGAACTTCGAAACTTTTTGCTCGAAATTGAACACAATACGAACACATGATTGCACTCCAATTCCCCCCTTGTTTTCAGTGGATGTTTAGCAATGTTAATGGAATAGTCTAGAATTAGATTATTGATATTAGGTTTGAGAAAGTACAGAAGTTAACAAGAGTAAGAATGGTCTATTTCTATTTAAAATTTGCTTTCATTTTTCTCTCATTGTAACCGTTTATTACGCCAATAGGTTCTGGAAACGGCCCGGAAAGTTGGAAGCTTTTCCGAAGCACCCATTCCTTATGACCAAATGAAGAGTCAGTGTGAAGCTAATGTAATCGGTAAACAACAGAAGATGTCCGTGCTTCATAACTTCACGCATTATCAGGCAGCCAGCACAACCACGGAGGACTTTGAAAACGAAATTCTCTATTTACCAACGGAGGTGAGTTGATTCTCACATGCATGATAAACAACTGTTCGAATGTTATATATTACAAAATCGGCACACACTACTACAGCATGATTTTAATAATCACTAAAACGATATAATGAAACCGATAATTTTAGGATACGGGAATTCGTTTTGTATTTCAGAAAGCAGAGGAAGATCCGAGGTTAATTAGCAATGATCAAGGTCGTGTAAGTGGACAGCTTGCCCTCTGTTCACAACAACACAAGCAAAATTCTTTCAGATTACCCTCGTCGAGCCCTTACGACAAGTTCTTGAAAGCAGCAGGTTGAAAATATATGTATATATACACACACACACACACACATCACATTATAATATACAGTCATATAACAATCTATGGTTTATTATATGATATTATGAAACCAAAAATAATAGTCCTGGTGGATTGTATTTCAGAAAGTGGAGTTTTCAGTAGATCTGAAGTTAATTAGAAAGGATCAAGTTCATATAAGGAACTAGACTGCCCTCTGTTCACAAGCCCTTACGACGAGTTCTTCGAAAGCAACTCGATGCTATAGAGGTTTGATGAGTTTTATACTACTACTATATATATATATATATATATATATATATATATATATATATATACACACACACTAATAATATGCATATATATACATGTGTGTATATGTATAATTTATATATCAATGGAACTATAGTTTACTTCCTGTTTTTCCTTTTCTTCTATTTTCCAGAAAATTGTCAATTATATATATGTATGTATGTATGTATGTATGTATATATGTTATCATTGAAGCTCATTCAATGTATTTCTACCCATCAGACACCTAAATGGAAGAACTGACTAGGGTAGTGGTAAGATGGGGGTGAATATAGTGTATTTGTTTGAACTTTGTTCCTTTATTTATTTTATTAATTTATTTATTTCCTAGTATATTGTGCAAAGAGAAGCATGGCCTAACTATAAATTCTATTGATGGAACAAAATTGCAATGTTTAATATTTTTTTAATTAATTTAAGGTAATTATTTGGTGCTTGAATCCGAGACTTTTAATCATTGAGGTGTTTTATGTTATCTTTACCGACATTTTTTTTTATGTATTTTCAATTTTAAAAATTATTAAACTGTTGAAAATGAGTCAATTTTTAGGATTAAAAAGTTAAATAACACAATTTAAGTTTAAACTCATTTATTTATATTTTCTTGATTCTAAATTAATGTAAAGTTAGTAATTTTACCGTTATATTAATTCATTTTTAATAGTAATAATAATCCTAGTTTATTTTTCATAAATCCAACATTATTTCAACGGTCTTTCAATAGCTTCACTCCATATGTGATTCATTTGTCATTGCAGTTAGATTTTTTCGTATCGAGATTTTTTCATATCGAGATTTTGTTTGAAATTCTTTGGTTAAACTTTTTAACATTTTCCTTCTTTATTCTTTGTGTGATCTATGTGGTTGGTTTTGTGTCAATAGTTATAGAAAAATGTCCTAATTATATTTTAGTTTAAGTTTACGGTTATACTTGTAAACCTTCAGTGTAATTTTGGATAATTTTTTTATTTTTAATAAAACCAGTGACTTTAAAAAAAACATTACATAAAAAATAAACTATTATAATTCTTTATTTTCTTAATGATTATTACAAATAGGCAACCACAAGTTACCTAAGAACCCTCTGAACCTCCAAAAAAAACCATATCTCCATAACCCAAAGTAAAATAATAATAATAATCCACGATATTGGTTCACTATACCTGGAAAATTTTGGGATTACAACTTAAACAAAATCTCATCAATACAAAAACCCTATTATACAATATGTATTGGCCTTATGATTAACATGGCATAATAGCATATTAGATATGATGCGATCGACCTTCACCAGTCTCGGCGGTGAATTATGACCGGACTCCTCCGGGTGGAAACAGCCGATAACGGCCAAACAATTGAAGAAGCAAAAAGAGAGCGGATGGGGAAGAGTGGGACTGACTGACCGACTACAACACAGAGGTTGAAACCGGCATTTTCTGCCAAAAGAATTGGCAGATTCACCAGACTTGACAAAAAATAACAACCCTGACAATGAGGCAAACTTTTGAGTTCCCTAATCCCGCGTTTTGCTTATGATCGAGAACATATACAAACGCTAAAGCTCCACGCGGCTCGAACCTCAAGTACTGTTTTTTGAGGGTTGACAACGACCACATGAACCAATGAATGCTTTGAATGGACAGAAGAAACTATTGGTTTTTCATTAAAAACCATAATTGATTGGGATTATCAAGTACCTCGTAGGGCAAACCAGAAAATTCAATCTGAATCTGAGCTCACGATGGAGCAGCGGCGGCTGATGCCTTCTCCATTTTCTCCTTTTCAATCTCTGCTCTCCTCTGTTCAGCATGCAGAGCAATACTGTTTGCAAGAGATTTTTTTTTTTGATAGGACTGTTTGCAAGAGATTGACAATGGAAATCCAGCGTCTGTGTAAGGGTTTTGGAACCTCATAGGATCCGATGCTTGCAAAACTAGATTCAAAATCAGAGAAGTGAAGAAAAGTTTCCTACTTCAGACAGCCATGCAAAAATCAACAAAAGTAGATGATGCGTACAAAACAAACCGAGAAGGCTGAATAAACATTTACCTTTCACAGTATCAACGAAGAAAACGAAAGGGTCTACTTCATCAATGGGTGACTGTAGCTCTTTGTCATCACTAAAGTCATCATCTGACGGAAAGCCTTAGCCTAAAGTAAACAATGTCAGGTGGGGTCAAATAGAGGATTTGAAAGTCCAGGATTATTTACACGGACATGTCCTAAACTTAAAGCTCATCCCGCCCGTTCTTTAGCTAAACATTCCCCCGTTGGCATAGGATCCGTTCTCAGAACTTCAGATTTTGTGAAAGCCGAAGGACTGTTTTTTTTTTTTTGCTAAATAACAAACCTAAAGGATCAAACATAATGCATACCTGGGCAGCTAATTTTTGAAGCCTGATGTTATCAGCTTCATCCTCATCCTCTGCATCGGTTCCCATTTCCTTGTCAGAAGCATTAGCATCATCGTCATCATCAGTCTGGAAACCATCCATATCATCATCTTCAGCCTCTTCCTCATTTGCAGCTGCTGTTCACAAGTAAATAATGCATGGAATAATCCAAATATATTGGAAAAAGATGGGGAGTATAAAACCTCCAAAAGACAAGGCAAGCAAACCTGCAACTTTATCCTTATATGCAACTAGTAGATCCAGGGTGGCCTTGAACACGCGCCCAAGAGCCTCCCCAGCCAATTGTTCTTCGGGAAGTGCAAGTAGTGACGTAAGGCCCAAGCAGCACACTTTCTTATCATGATCCCCGTAGCACTCATATGAGTCATATCACTTATAAAGTCAACAACAAGATGATGTCCGAGGTGAAAAGTTCATCATAAAAGAAATGATACAATGCCTAAGGCTTGCATGGTGTGAGGAAAAGAGGTCGAAGCAAATAGAGAAGTACCGACCGCTTAAAATTAGCCCGTTGACCACTCTTTCTAACTTGTTGCAACAAATGGAACCAAAGGTTGAACACTTCAGTTGTAACAGAGAACTTATTTAATATGCTGAGTGTCAGTTTGTAAACCTTACAGCAAACCGAAAAGACATGTTAGTGGATGTAAATCAACAAAATACCGAGTATGTGTTTTCTCTAAAGCTTGAATTTCTTCGGTTTCTAGAAAGAGTGCGTTCGTCTTCTCGAAAAATGTATTAGGTTCAAACAAGGAAGCATTGGCAGAATAACAACGATACAAGTGAACTAATAATCATTAACATCGATGTGAGAATAAACCCTATTAGTCAAAAATCTTTACAAAACAAACTCAAGATAGATATTTCAATTTTACACAAGAAAAATTATTGGGTTCAAGCGACGAAACCATGGTGTGGAATTATTAGCTACTAACATCAATGAGAGAATCAATCAAGTCACTCAACAATCTTTACACAAGAAATTTCAAATTTATTCAAGGAAAAATTATGCCTACTTTGTTGCTCAGTTATTTCATGCACCATCTTGATATTCGCAGCCGCGAGATGAGATCAAAACGTGTGGAATTTCAACTAATCTACAACATAAATATAAGATCAAATGAGAATTGAAGCTTTAGCATTCAGGAATTCCTCTATTTGCAGTAAAATAAAACCATGGTGTCACAAATTTATGCATTATTTTCAATTATGTCAAATCGATGTTAGTGAGCAAATCAAAATGCACAACAAATGAACAGTTAAACAAATACAAAGATTGCCTTCTTTACCTCAACCTGGACAAGAAAAAAAAACAGCAGATCAAACAAATCAAAATGAAGAATATAAGAAGAAATTGGTTGAAGGTAACAGAACGAAAGTAGGAATCAAACCCAGAAATAAAAAGGCCTGGACAATTGAAAATCAATTGAAAACCGGTATCTCTAAGCAAAGAATCGAAAGCCGGTCGCTATACCTCGGTTGAAACTTGAAACTCTGACGCGAATCACTGCTGCCGTTCAACCCCGCCGGAGATCCGTTTGATGAATCATGAAAATTTGCAGGCTTGGGCTTCTAGTTAGATCATCATCATTATTCGATCAGTAATAATTTGCAGTCGAGATTCTATGTTGAGCCCATGAATCTCGAAAGTGATCCCTAGCCCAAACCTCTTTTATTGGAAATTTTTTAGGGTAAAGTCTACATTTTGTCCCTTAACTATAGAGTGTTGCTTTGTGGAGTGTCTAAACTATCAAAAGTTACAAAATGATCCTATAACTATAGAATGTTGCTTTGTTGAGTCTCTCGACTATTAAAAGTTATAAAATGATCACTTGACTATTCATTATATTCCAAACTCATTATTTTCCGTAAAAAAGTGACTGTAATTTGAGTTGGATGTTAATTTGTTGTCTGATATATGATAGTCGTTTGAGATTTTATGATTAGATTATATTATACCTCAAACAATACATTAACATCCAGCTCAGATTATCGTCATTTTTAATGAACAATAACAAATTTATAACATAACAAATCGTTAAATGACAATTTTATAACTTTTAATAGTCGAGGGAGTCAACAAAGCAACATCCTACAGTTGGGACCAGTTTCTAACTTTTGATAGTGAAGGGACTCAAAAATTAACATCCTATAGTCATGGGACCATTTGTGGACTTTACTCATTTTTTTAATATAATTAAAAAAAACACTATGCAATAAATGGTTTACCTTCAATTACTCTTCCAATCCCTAATATAATATAAACGGTTTAAAAACAGAAATTCTATTCCTCTTTCCTTCCTATTCTCGAACTTTCTCTCCTCCGTTTTCATTTCAGGTTTTGTTTCAATCAAAATCGAAAATTTCGTTCTTGTTTCTTCTTGGGGTGAAGAGGACTAACGTCTTTTTTCATTTAAATCATTGGCTAAATCGAATTCTGATCCACCATGGTACGTTCTTTCTTTGCCCGCCTCTAATTTATTTTCCCAATTCAGTTGCATGAATTTTTATTGACTACGATGAATCATTATTAAAATTGAATTAAAAATGAGGAGTTGTGACTAAACAATAATGTTAAAAAATTTACTTCTCTCAATTCTAATTTGGATGGTTCCGATTGCTTGTGAATGTTTATGTAATTCAGGTTTTTGTTAATCGGAAACGGTATTTTTGGTAATACTTTGTTACAGAACTTTAGAATCTTTTAAGTTTTAGGTTAACTGGATCTGATTCAACTTATCATACTCTCTTTTAGGACCAATATATATTTGGGTTTTTGAGTTTTCAAGGGGCTGATGTAATTTTAAAGGATTTTGGATTGTTGTTCTCGGTGAAATTAAAATCTGAATAGTTTGATGAAGTTGGTTCAAGTTGCATCATGGTTCGATACTTCTATTTCTTAATCGTTTTATCTCAATTTTGATGTTATAGGGATTAAATGTTTCTGTTACAACGGTTTATTGTAGGATTTCTCAGCTTTTTTTTGTTTTTTATTGAATCTTGATTTCTTTAGCATGTTTTTGGTTGTGATAGATTGGGGGGAAATTTATCTAATTTCGTATGATCATACCTTTAGGTCTTACGTTTCATGCTGATTTAATGTTAAGAATGTAAACTGCATATCGATTCTCAAATGAGTAGTTACATTAAGAATGATTTTAACTTCATTGAATCTCGGTTTTTAGATTATTGAATATCGGATTCTTTAGCATATTTTTGGTTATGAATTATGATATATTTGAGGAAATGAATCTAAATCCATTTCATCAACTTTATGGTTCTTATCGGTTTTACGACTCTAGATAACGTTAAAATCTTTGTCAGATTTATGAAGTTTGCAGTTCATTTCCCTTTTGTTTTGATTTCAATATAAAAAATTCTCGGATTTGGAATATAGTCATCTTGCTGATAAGAATATGGATCAAAGATAGAGATGGCAGCTATGGGAGAGTGTAAAATTCCTTTATATATATATATATATATATATATATATATATAGTATACTCTTCTGTGATAATATTATCATTATCTTTCACTTATCTGTATGCCCTTTTATGCAGGCTGCCAAGATTCTTGCGAACTTAATTGTAATGGGATCGGGTATATTGGCTCGGGCTGTTGTTCAGGCATACCGTCAAGCACTTGCAAGTTAGTTCATAATTGCAAGATCATTATTTCATTTTTTTTATGTTGCTTGGAAAATGGGAGCTTGTTTTTATTGATTGTTAATAAGATATTATCTTAAAAATAGTACAATTGTGCAATATGATCACCGGAACAGACACCATGTATCTGGGAATTTATTCTTCATGTTGATTTATATCAGTATCTATGTTGTTTGCTGAGAAGTAGATATCACATTTTTCTCATCAAAATGTATATAACCTATTTTCTAATTTAGTCATGATGAAATCTTCATGAGAGGTCTCATGAAAACGGTTGGTTTAGCTCCAAAAGCAGTGATGTGCGTTTACGTGAGCAACAATTAGACGATTAGTAATATTACTATAGTGCCAGTTCTTGTTGATCTTCTGAGCAATAAGTTTTTCGCAGATGCTGCTAAATCTGGTGTTACTCACGAGACACTACAAAACGCTGCCCGTAAAGCTGGTAAAGCCATGACAGAGCAAGAAGCTAGGCAGATTCTCGGTGTAAGCGAGAATGCCAATTGGGAGGAGATAATGAAGGCTAGTATTTCAACCATCTCTCTTTTTTCTTGTTTTCCCTTTCCGTTGCTTTCATCTTGAATAACCTTTAAAACTTCTCTGTTTCATTTATTGCAGAAGTATGACCATTTATTCGAGAAGAATGCCAAGGTCGGCAGCTTCTACCTTCAGTCAAAAGTTCATTGGGCTAAGGAGTGCTTAGAAGCTGCCCATCAAGCCAAAGGAGAAGGCACCTCCCCTAGTTAAGATTTCGACCAGGTTTACTCGTTTCGTTTCACATACGGATGCCTGTTTGTAAATTAACTCTGACAAAAATGGTCGCAAATATTTGAATCATATGCACCAGCCTCTCCGGCTTCAAACACCGATTCATTCAAATTTTGTGTCAATGTTATATAGTTGAGTGTTGCAAGTAATAACAAAGCTTTTGTTAGGCTGTCGTATTGTCGACTAACCTGTTGCAGTTGTTATTACACGGTAGATAAGTGTGTAAGAAAGTGCACGTAAAGAACATCAAGCGCTTGAATTTGATGAAATATTCATGTGTTTATTTTAAAATTTTGATCAGTTTCGCTGAAGTGTTGATGTTTTCTACTTAGATAATTTCAATTATATGTCTGTTTATAAAGAAACCATGGGTAGACTTATTCTGAGACCTGTTCATAACGGGTTCAATTGTGACATTAAAGAATGAGTTATAAGACAGAAATTCGAACTTCAAACTCGTTCGTTCGATGTCAAATTACGAGTTCGATCAGTTTGTATTTGGTCCAAAATGTTCTCCAAAACTTAGGGTTTCTAAGGAAGGATGATATTATGGTAGGAATCCGCTCTTCAACTCGCCACCTCTGCGATCAATCCCGATATCCTTAAGCAATTTGACATAATTCGGCATCTGTTCAATTGCCTCAACCAACGGCAAGTTGATGTGGACTTGTTTCAAGATATCTAAGAATTTTTTGAATTGGTACTCTTGTTTCTGCCTTTTTAGCCTTTGAGGGAATGGTGGTGTAATTTTAAACTCCTCTTCCTTCTTGTTTGTTTGGAATTTGGCTGATGGTCCTACCATACTATATGAAGTTGCCGAGGCATGTGGACTTGCCTGAGCAATCGTTGGTTCATCACTGTCAAATAGGGCATTCCTGTTGTACAAATCCTTCTGAGCTCGAGTTTGTTTTGCTTGTCGATTTTTTCCAGTGGGTTGTGTGAGGCTCTTAGTTAATTCAAAACCACTCCGAGTGGTGATTGTCTTGCACTGTTCGTGACCTAATCCTTTTGCGACTTCAATATTGTTGGGTAAATCACCTTGCAGTCTTGTGTTCAAAATTTGTGCAAATTGTCACACATGGGTTTTCAAAGATTTTAATTTTGCATCTTGATTTTGCAATCTCATCTCAGTCCTGTTAATAAAAACGTCAGTTCTTTTCATGAAATTACTATTCTCAACTATGTAAGATTCAGTTTTTAACATAAAATATTGGAGAGTATTTTCCAAAGAACTAGATGGTATTGATTGTTGTTGTGGCATCTATTGCTTTGGCATATTCTACTGGAATCCCGATGTTTGTAAATTTTGATTGTTTTGATTGAGGGCATTGTTTGGGTTGCTCCATGAGAAATTAGGGTGTTCCCTCCAGGCTGGTGTGTATGTGTTGGACATCACATTGTTGTTCTGGTTGTAGTTTCCAATGTAGAAGCTAGATTCTGAGTTCTATGCACACTCAAAAGAACCATGATTATCGTTACATAACTCACAAAAAGAATTTACTACCTTGATTGCCTATGGATTGCTAGGTCGCTGCATATTCTTAACCAACTCGCTGTATATTCTTAACCAAGTTGGTTAATGTAGCCAATTGTGTGGAGATAGTATCCATTGAATCAAGCTCATTTATCGTGGCGTTATGTCAGACTCCTCCTCTTCTAGTAGTTGGGAACTGATAGTCATTCTTGGCAAGACGGTTCAGGATCTCTATTGCTTCTTCCGGTGATTTGTCGAGGATATGTCATTTGTCGATGCATCTAGCATTATCCTATTTGGTGTATTTACCAAATTGTAAAACATCGTCACTTGCGTCCACACCGGGAATCCATGCATGGGACATCTACGCAAAAGCTCCCTGTAGCGTTCTTAAGTTTCGCACATGAATAATATCATTACGCAATTTATCAGTCATAGTTGTAGAACTAAAGGATTAGGGAGGTTTTTTTAAGGAGGTCCTTGAAAGTGGTGTACTTTGTTATCCTCTAATACAAAGTACCCTCTTTAAAAAAAATAGTTGTAGAACTAAATCTAGCAAGAAAATCATGACATAAATCCGCCCAAGATTCTAAAGATCCGGATGGGATACTATTCCACCACGATTTTGCCTTATCCCTCAGTGAATAGGGGAATAATCTCAGCCTTATGACATCCTCATTGACTCCTTGTTGCTTGAATGAGTTACAGATTTTCAGGAATGATTTGAGATGTTGTCTGGCATCTTCTGTTACCGATCCGCCAAATTGACCAATTATGTTGATCATATTGAACATTATTGGTTTTAATTCCAAGTAGGCGACTTCTATTTCAGGTGTGACAACTCCTGGATTGAGACCGTCGAGATCTTTCTCTAAGTAGTCTCGAATAGGTATGTTTCTTACGGCTATCTGGTTGCCAATTACATTAGGGTCGCCAATTGGATCAACGAGTTGATCTCCTATTGTTGCTCGTGTCTTCTTTTATGAAAAGCTCACTCGATTTCGGGTTCAAATGGATATTCCGACGATGTAGGTCTCGATCTTGTCATACACATATGCAAAACCGCAATTTGTAAGCTCCTTGAATCCGAAAAGAAAGAAAAAGAAAAAGAAAAATAATACTAATAATTAAGGTGCAAGAAATTAAAAATCAAAGTCGCTATTGTCAATCCCCGGCAACGACCAACAACGACGCCAAAAACTTCTTGTGTGGTTTAAGTGCTTCGCAATTGGTGCAAGTGTACACGTCGCAAGTTATAGTATAGAAAAGTAATCGTCTCTATAGGGATTGGTGTAACTCTGTATTCTAACTTCTTGCACTATTAAGAAGAAATAAATTGGTAATAATAGGAGAGTGAATAAACAAGTAAATAAAAGTAAACTGATATCAAGTGAGAGAGCATGTCGAGTTATCGTGATTAGTAGTGTGACAACTGTCTGAAAAGTCTGAGTAGTTGATTGCCGAGACAACTCGATTGTCGTGGCAACTGAAAATAATTCAATTGCCAAAGCAACTGAGTTTCCTCCTTCAAAGTTCGACAGAGCGTTCTTCAATGCCTTCTTATTATTCCTAACTTCAAAGGATTGGTCAATTGTGCATGCCTTGGTGATATATTCATGCGTTAACCACGGGTGAACACCAACTGATCTTGCGCTCATTTTAGCCATTGGAATCCAAATCTTATCCCTAAGATGAATTAACCTTCACCAACGTTCGTTCAAATGAATATCATGTTCATTCGTTTCATGAATCTAACTCTCCCGATATTAGATAAATGGATAAACTCTCAAGATCCTCTCCCAATTCACTCGAAATCAATTAAAGAACCAAAAATGAACAAACTTTGAATTAAAAAGACAATCAATAACTTAAACAAATCCAAAAGTTTCACAACCACAAAATCCCAATAACCCAAGCCAAATTAATTTAGTTCATAACTGGGTGCAAAAAGATTACAAGATAAAGATTTCTCAATCCCATGAAAAGAAAAATAAAGAATAGATAAAGAAAAAGAAGACCGTGCTTCATTTTCTCTCTCTAGCCACCTCTCCTGTTTGTGTGTCTTCTCTTCTCTTTTATAGGAGATGCGTGCGTTCCTTTTCTTCTTGGAGAAGAGTTTTAATTCTAATAAAAGAGCTATTAAACATCTTTTAAACAAAAGACGTAATAAATCTCTTTTAATAAAAGAAATAAATCTCTTTTAATAAAAGAAATAAATCTCTTTTATCTTTATTCTTAAATACCTTGTAATTAAGACTTCTTCTCCTCATTAACTTCTGCGTGAATATCCAAATTTATAGGAATTATCTCCTTGTTCCGTGATTATCTTTAATGAGGTAGACTCATACAAAAATCAATTTCAATTGCAATTCCTAATTGCACAAATTTACACACACCAACATTATTTTTTTTCACAAAATCAACCAAAATGCAATATCAAATTTAAACGACGAAGGAAACTATGAAATTATGCATGAATGGCTAATAATATAACTAAACCAAACCTAAATCTAGAAATAATTATGGGTAAAAGAGTAGAAAATATAGTAATTTTATATGCTTAACACCATGCTAGCAGCAGAAATGGAAAATCCTAACGATGGCAGCAAAGGATGCTAATGCAACCATGGCAGCTCAAATGTCAATCTATAAACAAAGAACATGTCTTGGGGGATTATAAACTCAAATGCAAAACTGTATAAACCATCAAAATAGAAGAACCCCAGATCACAAACACCGGCAAATTACTGATCCATAAACAGAAAAGATCGAAGCTTTTAGATCCAACGACTCCAGCTCAGTAAAACCCACATCTTGAAATCCTTAAACTAGTGAAAAAAATGGAAAAGAAAAAGTACCAGTGGTGAAACAATACTGAAAGCCAGCTCTTTCAACGAGCTTAGCACCGAGGCCATCAAAACAAGCGGGCCTTGGTGAACCCCAGGCGATTCCAGAATCTGTCTAAGTGTCTTTGCAGGTGAACTCCTCTCAGCTAAGCAACCATTGATGACTCGGAATCGCTTAGGAGAGGTGGGCAAAGTGTGGGTCTTTGGCTTCTTCCTTGTCTGGGTATTATTGATGGGAGATAAAAATGGGACATTTTTGAAATTTGGAAGAAGGGAAGAGTTAGATTGGAAGAGAGGGTGGTTGAAAATGGAGAGAACTTGATCTCTACTAATCATTGATGATGATGATGATGGGTTCATGCTTGAAGGTTGAAAAGCTCACTGAACTCTTTCGGTGTCCCCCCTCTCTTTGCTTTCGTTTGGCGATGACAAACTGGAAAGGCAGCTGCTTTATTACTTCAAATATTATATCTTTATCAATTATGTAATTAATTAGGTAAACTACACTCTAGTCCCTTAAAATTAAGAATTCTTACATTTTAGTAACTACACTTTTAAAATTTACATATACATTGAATCCATTACTATTATTTCTGTCAGTTATTAATTACTATTAAGGAAAGTTAATGTAGTATGTTTAATTCTTCTTTCTAAAAAAATCATAAAATCTTCATCTAAATCATAAAAAATCATAATCGTTGTTTGAATTACATGTGTCGTAATTGTCCAATATTCTTTCGGTTATTATCGTCACTAAACATAATATTCATTGTACTCAAGTGTCAAATGAAGCGAAGAAACAAAGAAAAAAAACACAAGAGATGAAAAACTGTACACCTCTACCTTGACGAGTTTTTAAT